GTGTCTAAAAACACCTCAACTCATTTCTGTCACTCACCTCTCCCACCTGAATTCTTTTCCCCATCTCTCTCTCTCTCTCTCTCATCATCCACGTTCTCTAATCCTCTCTGCCCATCTATTTACAGCCACTGTGGAGCTGGAGAACAGTCATTTGACTGGTTCTTTTTTTACCACTTGTGCATAATGAGCCATGTCTGTGTCTTTGTCAGGCTGTACTGTTTGAAAATCTACGGCCTCTCGTCTCTCTGGAGGCTTTTCAGAGGCAAGAAGTGGAATGTCCTGCGGCAGAGAGTGGATTCCTGCTCCTATGACCTGGACCAGGTAATACTCACACACACACACACACACACACCGTATTCATCGCCCTCACAGAGGTTTAGACATTTACTAAGAGTCTGTGTGTCATGGTGCTTCAGCTCTTCATTGGAACGCTGCTATTCACCATCCTGCTGTTCCTGCTGCCCACCACCGCTCTCTACTACCTGGTCTTCACTCTGGTAAGATGAATCACAAGTGAAGACTCTTTCAGCAGCTGTTGTTGGTTTGAGTTCATGTCACTTACTACAGCTTTCAGAAGCAACCAGCCTGGTGCTGTGCTCATCTTCTGCTGCTCATGTAGTGTTGATGTTGGTCTTACATTGTGCTTGTTATGTACCAGTGTGGTGAAACCTAATTATATGGAGTGCAGGTTGTTAATGAAGCAGCCTCTCCCATCAGTAGTGGAGATGTTGTGGTCATTTGTTCAGAGCTTTGACAGAGACAGAACCTTTTCTGTTTGGACTCAGCCACAACAAACGTTGTGAACTACACCTGTGTGCAGTACTGTGCAAACGTTTTAGGCACTAAAGGTGAAGTTAGGATGCTTTCAAAAACAATGCCATGAAAAAAATTTTTTTAATCACTTATCTTCATACAAAGTGCGGTAAAGATAAAACAGGCTATTTGAACATATCATCTTGGGCTCCAAGAAAGTATAATGGTCTACAGCTTTTTCTGACATATAAGAAGAATTCAATTGATGACCATGAAATAAATCACTGATTAATTAATTAGTAGCATCTTCTAAACAGTACAGGAGTGGAAAACATGCCCAGCTGGCACAAACAGATACTGTGCCAGGCTGATTTTGGAGCCAACCTATAGATGGCTGTTTGTCTGGATGGAGAACAGCCAAATTGAGCTTTGTAGGCATGATTAGGAATGAGGACATAGTTTTCCTGTGGTGGAGCCAGAAAAATAACCACTGATATCTCATTCTTCCTGTCCACCTTGACACTTTGTCACTATTGGAATTTATGTTGTTACGTAAGTTCAAACTGAGTGGCTGCTGTTTTCTAGGAAGCAGCCAGGTACAAATTCTGTTGCCTTTTTAAAAACACACAGGGTGTGTTTGATAGTTATTCATAGATCCTGGGTGGAGTAACATGAAACAAATGTTCACTTGATGTAATTGGACCACTGCTCATGAGCAAACAGGGAAAATGCACAAATGTTTTATTGAAAAGTGGTTCTTTTAATTTCATAGCACTGCCTGATCCATATACAGTTTTTTAGCAAAACAGCGAGACTAAACCTATATCCATCGCCAGCCGTGATTATTTCCAGCAGCATGGGTTTGTGTTTAACCTGTGTGTCCCTGTGTTGCACAGTTGCGGCTGGTGGTGGTGCTTTTCCAGGGCGTCCTCCACCTCAGCGTGGACTTCATCAACTCCTTTCCTCTGTTCGCTTTGGGCCTCCGCGTCTGTCGGCCCTACAGACTGGCAGGTACATCACCCTTGTCATCTGTCCACTGTGTTTCTGCAATACTGATCAAAACTGGGTTACCAAGATGAAAGTTTAGTGGTGCAATGTATATTAATTAAAAAAAAAAAGTGAAATCCTGGGCTACCACTATTGGTTCTCCAACTTTGCTGCTTAATTTTTGCATATTAAGAATAATGTGTACAAATCTAATGAATTCATATTAAAGGAATGTGCAAATTTGATTTGATAGATGACAACACAATGCACGACATCTGCAGGTCTTTTAAGTGAAATAAATGTGAATGTTTTCTGGATGGATGCATGAATAACTGACATGATAATCAGTACACAGTTGAGTGTAGTTGTATTCTGTGATGTGTATTTTGTACTTAACAGAAGGTGTAAAGTTCAGGGTGCTGTGTGACGAGCCTGGCACAGCCCTTCACCTGCAAATGGAGGTAAAAGATCACATTTTGTTTCTGTGTTTTGTTTTGTTTTTATAGGTCCGTAGTGTCATACTATCCATCCGTTATCTATACCGCTTAGTCCTGAATAGGGTCACGGGGGCTGGAGCCAATCCCAGCTGACATTGGGCAAGAGGCAGGGTCCACCCTGGACAGGTCACTAGTCTGTCACAGGACTGACAAGCAGACAAACAACCACACACACTCACACTCACTCCTAGGGGCAATTTAGAGTCACCAATCAACCTAAGCTGCATGTCTTTGGACTGTGGAGGAAACCGGAGTACCCGGAGAGAACCCACATAGGCATAGGGAGAACAAGTAAACTCCACACAGAAAGTACCCTGGTTGGCCTGGGCTCGAACCCAGAACCTTCTTGCTGTGAGATTACAGCACTAACCACTGCTCTGCCATGGTGTCTGGTGTCATATTATAGCTCTTAAAATTCTGTTCCTCTTTGAGGATTATTTTCCTGTCTGAGGAATAGTTCCAAAATGGAGTTCTTCCTCTTACCTCAGTGACCTGTAGAAAATGAATCAGGTCTTCATTTCCTGACACTGTGACCACCATAACTTCTTCTTATTTAGCACTGAACAGTTTTCTGTGATCTGTCTTGTCCACAAGTAGACATATTGAATGACTGGTGTATTAATAGTCATAAAGGGATTATACAGGGAGTGCAGTTGTTTCAGAATATCACCATTGTACAGTATAGATAATGTTGATGGCCTGTGAGTTCTCTAATGAAGCCTCAGATTAATTGATGATGTGAGGATAAAGTATTTATACTAAGTTTTCATGTCAGTTAATGAGATACTCAACCAGTTTTTCTATGTGTGTGTGTAAGTTACTAAGAGAACATTTTCAACATGGTACACGCATGATGTAAGCACTAATTGTTTTTATATTATAGAGCTGTTTTATACTTTTTTTTTTCCAACAGATGAATCCTCTGAAGTTCAACACAGTGGTTCAGACCTATCGCACCCCAACTTACAGCTGTTACCCCAAGGACTCGTGGGCCACCCTGGTCAAGAAACTGTTTGTTGGCGAGTTGATTTACCCATGGAAACACAAAAGCACCAAGACTGACTGAGAGACACCAGGTGGAAATGTAAGCTAGAGAGAAAAGGAGATGAGGGAACAGAGGAAAGGGAAGGGACTGAATAAATAATGAGATGAATACAGACAGATGGAGGGAAACAGGGGAAATGGGAGGCAAGGGTGACGCTGGTATGAAGACCTTTGATTTGAGATCCATTCCTGTTAGATGGGAAGAACGTCAGAGTGTTTTAAGTTGACTGAAGCTCAGTACACTTGTCCTTCCTTTATCAGTATGGAGGCAAATGATAAATATGAGCTTACAACAAATGTGACAGTGCCAGCCTTAAACCTAAAGCCAGCAAATAGTCATTTCCTGAGTTTGTGTTTTAAGAGCTGTGATCATAAAAATGAGTTGGTACATGGTGAAAATCTTTTATTTTATTTTTTTTAATCACTATTTGAAGTATAAACATTTTCTTTATGTGACATCAGGTTTTTTTTTTGCCCCAGTAGGAAAAATTAGACAAGCTGTTGATGTTAACAAAACACCAAGGACCTAAAACAAGAAAAAATATATATATAAGTTGAAGTTTTAATCTGCAGATATGAAAAAGACTTGAAATAATTTTTAATGGATGACTGCACCCCAAAACAAAAAGACTGACCTTGTTTCTCCCCCTGATCTCAGTGAAATCTCCACTGCGGTTTGTATGAGCAACAAGCACAGAGCATTTGGTCTGTGTACTATACTGCAGCTAGAGCTTTTGAGCTCTCAGTTCACTAAAATCATTCAACTATGAAACACACAGCATCACTAGGTTGAGAAAGAAAAAAATCTTATTGGAGGATTGCAGAGACCACAAAGCGTTTAATGATCTAGTACTCTCGTGTTCCCCTGGCTTATGGCGCTTAGAATGAGCACATTGCTTTTTGTGATCACACTTCTCATGTTATGTACTGGTTCTTAGTGACATATGCCACTACTGATTGATATGCCACACCTAATTCACTGACAGATACCACTTTTCACCAGCAAATACCACTGTTGTTTTAGTGGCTAATGCAGATTTTTATTTGTAAGTGACTTTGACCAGAGACAGAGTACATCACTGCTGTTCAGTTGACACATGCCACATGAAAACGGCATATCACTCCCCACTGCCATACAACAACTGTTCTTGACATATTTCTGTGCTCCACTAACAAACTGTTTCTGGCATTCCACTAATGCCATTCATTGACATATTTCTGTGCTCCACTTACAAACTGTGTTTCTGGCATTCCACTAATGCCATTCAGAATCAACATATGTCTCTAAATCAAAAGTCAAGTCATTTATTTATAGAGCACAATTAAAGTCAAGGAGTTGGCCAGAGTGCTTTACAAAAAAAGACGGAAGGTAAAGAGACATCACTATAATCCATAAACAGCATTGTGGCCTCTAGACTAGAAAACAAACGTACAAGTGGTTTGAACCAGACTAAGAAAAACTTAACATTGATTAAAAGCGTAATGTAATGGCTAGTATGATCTTCAAAGTGTATTTATTCCCCCAGAGCATAAACTTAACACCATGTCCTTTACTCTAGTAGCATGCCCAAGGCACACTAGCTTTCACAAATGCTAAGGCTGTAAGAATAGCAAAATCATCTGTATGTTATTGGTTCCATCAAACTCACTGAAAATTTGAATCTCTAGAAGTTTTTATAGCATCTTTTAAGTTCAGTCTTCCTTGGCAAATGATGTGTGCTCAGTTGTTAATTTAAAGGTCCCCAGTAGTGTCTGGTAAACAACACTATAGAGTTTGCTGGCATTTATTTCCACACAAACTGTTGAAGCTTCACCTGAGACAAGAGTTAGATCAGACAGTATTTGAATTTATGGATGAATTGTTACTTTCTAACCTGGGTCTATTAATAAATAGGCAGAATTATATTTAGAAATCAGGTATTTATGTATTAATTGCACTGGCTGTGTAAATCTTCAAATCTTTTAGATTTAAATGAAAGTATTTGCGTAGATCAAATGATACTAACTGGACAAACGTTTTTATTTTAAAACAACACTTTAATCTTTGAGAGTTTTAGTCTAAATTAAAGGTATTTATTTTAGGTTAATTTGTCACTATATTTCTTACACACTGTTTGACCCTGACAGATCAGTTTGGCTCTTGAGTCAGTCAGATGGAGAGGAGTCTGTAATGGTTTAAAACAAAGAAAATTTGGTTGTGCTCAGGGTCAGTTTGTCAGCATTTGTCTTCTTTAATTGCCTAATTGTGTTTTTTCTTTTTTTATATTATTATTAAATATAATTGAATTGTTTATAATAATCAACCTGAAACAGCTCTTACTTAAACAGTCTGGCAGTTTGGAAATGTACAAGACACTGTAGGATGATCTCTGGATGCATGTAGCTAAAAATTATCTCAGTTTTCCAAAATGACACACTGTTCCTTGTAATGTGAATTATTGCCATTTCATTTCACCTTCACTTTTACAACCTGCCTTTTAGCCTCCTTAGCACCAATTTGTCCTTTGATTGGTAAATGTGCATTCTTATCCTTATTAATACTTTTTTTATTTTAGCGTCTTGTTGATCTGTTCTAAATGTTCCACTGCCATTTAATAAAACTGATACAAATTGAATATTCTGATTGAATATTCTTGTCAAATGAGTGACACATCTATTCATAAACTCTTGTTAAAATAGCTGGAGTAAACATTATTACTTGAAATCATGTCTTATATGTTTAAATCCAGTTTTAAAAATGTTTTAGTATCTACACAACAAGAGATTTCACTTGTTGCTTTGCCACATCCTATTTCTCAAGAAGAATAACATTTTATTGGTGTAAATTGTAATACTGCAGAATTGGTATGTTTACCTTTAACCCAGTCAATCAGTCACTGTGTATTTTCAAGAGGATAATAGTGAGCTTCAAAGTAAATAGATTTTTGTATAAGGTGTGTATTTCACATCTGTTACAATTAAATGCACTTTCCTCATCGTAATATCTTTAATGAATTCATTCATTGCTGCCAAAACAAGTTTGTGTCCTTGTGTTATAGTGTTGAGAAGATTGATCTAGCAAAGCTAGGTGAGGTGATTCATGGTGTTACAAATACTGATTTGATAACATCAAACACACTCAGCCTACTACTATACATCACATTTTATATTACATATTGCAGTTATGCAATGACATGTCTGCAGGGAAGGGCTCTACATGTGATCCCCCTCCCCCAAAAAACAAAGTGACACAAATCAGTTTTATGACATTGTTTTATTATCAGAGACATCACACTGAATCTCACATTTTCATATCAGATTTTAAGAGTGGTCATTCATATCAGTCATATTTAAATTTATATAGAACCGTATGTCTCTGCAAAACATATTTCGTACGTTTTGCGTTGGTTGTGGTTATTTTTGGTGTGTCACATAATTGAGCTTTGTGACTTTTAGCCAAGAAATATTAACACTGACTTACAGTAGGTCAGCCTGTTGCCGTTGACAAATGAATCACCTTTGTTGTCCACATTGTCCTCGCCATGCGTGTTGTTGACAGCAAAGTTTGATGGACGTGTTTGTCAGCCATTCTATGCCACTGTCTTATGTCACCGCAGAGTCAGCGTCCAATCATAAGGTGCAAGAGGCGGGATCACGGAGAAGAGAGACTTCAGCGCAGTAGGGCAGGAAGGCAGTTGAGCTGTCATCAGCGTAGTGAGAGTTGTGTGATACAGAGCAGCTGGAACTGTCATAATTGACTATAATGGAGAAAAATGGAAACATCGTGGGATGAGATTACTGAATACACCTACACAATGTGGACTGGATGCAACAATGCCACATCCTTTTGACTGCAGAGGTCGGAATTTTCTGGATACAACGCAGTGAAGTTGCAGGAACCTTTATCATCCTGGACTAAAGAAAGACAAGGGGGCCTGAAATTACACCGACGTCGTCGGTTCAAGTTGAGCTACGGTCTGCAATAACTAAGTTAGCATTGAGCTTGCTGTGAAATATCATGTGTTTTATTCCACCGGGAAGTTAGTTTGTAAAGAGTAACACGGAGCTGTATATGGTGGTGTGTAACGTGGCCTAACGTAAATTTTTCCAGTGACTGCGTTTCCAAATAATTGTTGTTTTACGTGGCTTTGGTAACGTTAGCAGCAGTGGTAATAGCCAAGCTAACTGGCGTAGGGCTAGCTTGTTGTTCGTCCTGCTAAGTTAGCCAGAAGGCTTCTCTTAAAAAGGAACAAAACGAGACCAGCGCCCTCCAGTTCTGGTGGGTAATTAGCATACTCGAAAACATATCTCGGCCGAGATACCTGCATATAAGATTGGCAAAGTGGCAATTGCCACCAAGCTTATTAAAAATATCATTTCAGAAGCATGTTCTCTAGCCCACAAGCCCCTTCTGGATACAGCATGCGCTACACTTTGATTAGTGGTGTTTTTAATCTTTAATAGATGTTAATCTCATTAAGATACAGAATATTTGACTCAAAAAGGACTCCGTCATTAGTTGGAAAGGCAGTACTTGTTGTTTACATTAGGTGAAGTTTGTTTTTTCAGAGTAAGCACCACCTGAAGTCAAATTATTACTTTACTTAAATGTTAGTAATAAGGATGTGTTGCTTTTCACAACCACATTTTTGGCACACATCTTGTTTATCAAGTAGGGCCTTCTTGTGAGACTGTTAACACAAACAGGCAAAACAAGGACTTTAAGCTGGTGGACCCCTATTCACTAATTCAAGGCATAACAGACATTGCCTTTGTTTTGATCCAAGTGAAAAGCAAAACACACAAGAGGGTTAGTTGGTTTCCAATTCCCGTCTTCAGCTTTCATCGCCCCTGGGTTCAGATGTGAGACACCATGGGCAGCCAGGGCAGCCCCGTGAAAAGCTACGACTACCTGCTCAAGTTCCTCCTGGTTGGAGACAGCGATGTGGGCAAAGGAGAGATCCTGGACAGCCTGCAGGATGGCTCGGCTGAGTCCCCATACGCTTACAGCAGCGGTGAGTCACTCCTGCCCTTTCTCAGCTGATTGGAACCTGATGCTTCAGTTTTGCCTGGTTGTTATGATGAGCTGTCGTGCTTGTTCATGACAACAGCCCTGAACATAGTAGCTGCATGTCACTGTGTGGGCTGTAGAGAATACACTGTGCTCTCTTCACTGTCTTTAATAACACACTGGCATAAACCACCTACTCAACGCACAGAGCATTCACATGGAAGTGAGACAGTCATGCAGTTATTGAGTTACATTAGTTGATAATGTCACCTGTTAAATAGTACTTCTCATGACCTCATAGTCTGCAAACAAGACAACAGGTTTTCGACCTGCATGATACTCATGTTGGTATTGCGCAGCATCTTATCAAGTCAACATCTTTAATAAACAGCATATATTTTATAAGCCAGCTCTATTTGTTACTGTACAAAATGTACATTGAAGATACCAGCACTTTTAACAAAGACAAGGAAAGGCTGATAGGGCTCTGACCAGTCAAATGATCCACCCCTGGGTGGAGGAGCACAGATTGCCCTGCCTCTCTTACTGTTATTGCTTTAGAGCTGATGGCAACTATCTGATCACTGCCTGCTGCTGCAGTAAGCTGCTGGTCTGTGGCTGCTGAACACATTCACACACTCCCAGTCCCTTTAAGGGGAAGCCCTAACAGATCGAACCGAGGGGAGAGAAAAAAATGAAAGTTTTTTTTATGTTTAACCTATGTGATACAAATCGTATACACATCATTTTTGCTACTCTCCAGGTGTTCCATAGTGTTTGAGATTCTTTACTGTGTCTATTATAGAGCTGCATGATAAATCGTTTAGTGAGCATGATTTGAATCCCTGTGTGATCTTGGTCTCGCGTGACAATGATTCTGCTGTGTCTGGATTAGCAGGGATATGCCCTGCATCAAACCAAGTGCTCTCTTTATTTCACTAAGCTGCATTAAAGCAAGAAAATCCAACATGTGACATTATGAAAGATATAGAGATTCAGAATCAGTTTATTGGCCATTTGTGTTGGACACACGAGGAATTTGACTCAGGTACATCGGCTCTCAATGTGCAAACAGTAGACCAGCATAAGGCTGTGTAGTATAACAAAATAGCAGTATTAACATCCACAACCAGTGCAAACAATGCAGAAAAAGCAGTATAAATAGACAGTAAACAATGCAGACAACAAAGGAATGTTCATTGAAATGAGATAATTAGGAATAAAAATAGAGTACTTAAAACAGAGTACTAGAGACCTGTATGAGTCTGTATAATCTGTACAATGTATATATTCTGTGCCGTCCTGCAACTATTTTGCAAACATTGAGCTGCCTGTCCTATAGTGTGCTTTAGAAAATAGTAAGGGTGGCAATCTTTGAAAAATTCACGATTTGATTAGATTTCGATTCTTGGTATTATGGTTTTATTCAGAAAAACGATTTGATGCAATTAAAAAAAAAAAAAAAAAGAAGAACTATATTTTGGCTACGATTCTAGTTTACTGTGTGTCATACAAGTGATATCTGTCCTGTGCCCACCGAGTTGCTAATAAGGCTTAACAGACAGTTAAGCTAACTGGTTCTGATGAGCATCAAAACCAAGTACTTTACATACTGCTACCCAGCAGTATGAATAGATTTTTAAATAGCTTAGGAATATTCCCTTCATGTTCACAGATGTAGTGGAGGAATTCTGTATAACAGGAATCACTCAAATGATGCTAACAGTTGTCAAGGAGGATGGCACAGTGGTACAGTGGTGAGCACTATGACCTCACAAAGGAGTTTTGGGTTCGAACCTCATGGCTGCTGTGGCCTTTCTGTGTAGAGTTTGTATGTTCCTCACCCAGCTCAGCTAGGATTGGCTCCAGCCCCCCTGCAACACACTATGAATAATATAATGTAGGTAATGGATGGAGTTTGTCAATGAACAGAAATGAGAAAGGAAGAGTGCATCCATCACATGCACACAGCCTAATTTCTCCCCCACTTTAAGCCACTGATATTAACATATCAGCTACTGAGTTACTTATCTCTCAAGGTGAAATGCGTTTGAACTGAATTTGTGTAGGTGTTCACTCCAGCAGACAGTTCTCACCTGGTATGCTGTGATAGATGACTCTCTGCATAAAAATTTTGTTTTGCTTCAGATGAAGATTTTCATCTTCTCCCCTTGGCAGCAACTATTCATGAAAAATACATCAGTTGGCAGATTGACTTGTGCTTATCTAATGAGTTCTGCTGAAGGGTGATGCTGCCTGTTGGCCTTTGGCAGCAAGGTGATGACCCTCCATCAGGACATGTTTGCAGATATCCCCATTTAGTGAAAGACACACTGTTTCAATGCAGTGGCTGACAGTGATTTAGTGAGTGTTAACCAGTGTTAACCGGTTAATTAGAGGTTAGAGATTGCACTGCTGTGAAGGAAAAATGCTTTTATTCAATGAAATCATCATATTTTCAAATGTCCAGTTTAAAGGGATTAGTTGGTAAATCAATCGGCTGAACCACTGAAGATAAATCTGCTCAAAACAGATTTGCAGTCATTAGTTGCTCCCAAAAATAGGGGATCAAGTAATGACTGTAATTCTGGCAGCTTCTGCAACATGAGGATTTGCTGCTTTTTATAGATTGAGTTAAATATATTTAGATTTTGGACCTTGTCTTGCATTCTAGGTAATGATGGGGATGTTTCAAAATTTCCTAACCTTTTGTAGACATATATATTAGTGATGTGAAAAAACTGTGAGCCAAGACAGATTCTCCTGAAGTGTCTAAAAGAGGAAGCCTTTCCAGTTATTGTGAGCAAGATCAGAAGTCTTCAGTCAGATTTATTTAATATGGACGGCACAGTGGAACACACCTGAACACGCTTCGACTTGGTGTGTTTGAGCAGACTGACACACTGATTTTGATTTCCATCACCCCAGCAAAGAGAGATGGGGAAAGCTTGTGAGTATCCTAAATATTTAAGAGGGGAAATCAGGACAGGGGAGCAGATTTTGAATGGATGACATTGTCCTCAGGCTATGCTTGGCTCCCTGTGTGATCTGGGAGATGTAACTGGTCTGTTGCATTTCCTCATGAGTGATCAGTGATTGTGTGCTTTATTGTTCATAAATTGGTTGACTAGTATTCAGAGCAGTGGCAATCTCAAATGTCTCACACAATTTTTCTTGTAAAATGTTTCACTGGGGGCAGCACAGTGGCCTCACAGCAAGATGGTACTGGGTTCGAGCCTGGTTTGCCTTTCTATGTAGAGTTTGCATGTTCTCCCTGAGCCTGCATGGGTTCTGTCCAGGTACTTCAGCTTCCTCCCACAGTCCAAAGACATGCTCACCCAATGTCAGCTGCAATAGGCTCCACCCCCGAGGACCCTATTCAGGAATAAAAGGTATACATAATGTATGGATGTCTGTGTTGGTGAAGGACAGAGGGTTTTGGTGTTCAGGTATTCATGATTGTGCACTTCTGAGTTGGTCTGTTTTAATGGTTTTGTAGTGTGTTTGCAGTGCACACCTTAGAGCTGGAATGATTAGTTGTGGATCAGCAGAACGCTTATCTCATCAATTTCTCTTATAATCATATTGGGAGGGGTCACCACAGTTAATAGTGTGGAGACAGGCAAAAAAAGAGGAGGAGAGAGGTAAGATTTAACAAACGTCTCTGACCTGAGGATGTTGTGGTTATGTGGTAGGCGTCTTAACCACCAGGTCACTGGGAGACACCTCAGGGGAAATCACAGACATGTCTGGACAAATTCCTTGGTTTTATCGCATTCAGGACCGGCAACATGAAGGGATTCCTCAGAAAGGCGTTCTTTTGGATCAGGGGCACTGGTGTGTTGGGTTACAGATGATTTTTGCTTTGAGTTCAAAATGATTTTTTTCACACTGTGATAAGGTTTAGAATTTCACAGTCACTTGATGTTAGTCATCAGATAACACCGGCTTTGGAGGAGTGGAGCCAATTAAAACACAGAAGTCCATCAAAAAGGCACTTTTGAGTGCATCTGCTAGACAAGTGAGATTTTTAAATCTTTTGACATTCAGTACACACTGACAAGGGAATGTTCAGGCAGGGCAGTCCCTTGTTTCTGTATGGCAGCAGACTGGATATTTTGACAGTGGAATATTCATAGACAACAGTTCTCACTGGATACAGGCCAGCTCACAGATAACCCCCCTACACTGGGCTGCTGGTGTTTTATAATTGAGTGAATTAGTAGGTAAATGAAAAGCTGCCCCTGGTCGAATCCTCCTGAGAGATGCACAGACTGATTGTTCCATATTGACGGAGCATAGCTAGAAATGCAGCTTTTGATTATTTCTTCTCTGCCCTGTCTTTTATTCCTTCACAGCTTCTGCAGGTTACCCTGGGGTTGTAATTTCATATTCAGTGGTATCCTATCCAGTGGTTAAAACACACATTTACTTTTTTCTTTCCTGTACTGGGTTCATGTTCATGTTCCTACATGATACTCCCACACAGTGCATAGTAAGGCCATGGACCAGCTGTGGATTAGACAAGCTTGGCCACCTGGTATATTAAGCCCCTGTAAAGATGCTGATAACTTTTCCCCAGGGTTTCTTGAATTTATATAGTGTAGAATTTTAGTGTTTGTTTTTGTAGTGGTCTCATGTGACCACTACCATGGCCTTACTATGCACTGTGTGGGAGTATCATGTAGGAACATGAACATGATGGGGTGGCTGTGGCTTACGAGGTAGGGCAGTCGTCTTCTAACCAGCAAGTTGGTGGTTCGACTCCCGGTCTCCCCGCATGCCTGAAAAATAAAGCAGTCAGTGCTCTCTAATATATAATGTTACGAGAGGCTATTCAAATTCTCATACTGATATTTCTTGTTGCATCTTTATCTACTGTACAATAATTATTGTTATAATTGTAATGACAAAAACACACCTCTCTGACATAGTCTTAGCAAATGCTTCGCACAGCTTTGAGCACACCCACAGAACAAACAAAGTCAGCTGACTCCCAGAATAGAAGCAGCAGCTTTCAGCTAAGGCATCAGAGGGGCTATTGATTATGTGGGATGTCTAAGTGAGCCCTGGCAGTGAGAGGAAAGGAAGCACTTGGTATGAAACCCTGCACTCACCCCAATTCTATTAAGCTAGCCTGAGCTCAGCACTTTAGCTCAGCAGCAGCTTTATGTTGCCTGGAAAATTGCAAGTTATTGCTAATGCTGTTAGTCAGCAGCTGCTACCTGCCATAGGCCATTGCAGCCGTGTGAGAGTCTGGGAAGAGGAAAGGCTTACTTTTTCGCTGTGCTGCTGATGTTACTGATATCCTAATGTCTTTTTTTCCAGGAATCTTAATTTTCAGTTCCTAACAATGTATCTATTCAGTGAGTTATAGTCTTGATTTATCTAATCCTTTTGTTGGTTATCATGTAAAACTAAAAATAACAGACACAATCTGTGTTTTTCCACTTCATATTATGATTTGAATACTTCCAGAGTTTGGTTTTTGATGGGTTTTCTGACTAAATAAGCTCTTTAAAGACATCACTTTGAAGTTTGTGAACTTGAAAACAGGCATGTGTCTTTCACATCTACTCAGGGTAAAGTAGAGCACATTTGAAAACACGCTCCACAAAATAACATATAAACCTGCTGAGTAAGAAGATCTTATCACAGGTGGGAACCACTTATTAGCGCTTAGTGCAGTGGTTCATCTTTTTGGGGTTTGACTCGGTGAGAACCACAGGAGCCTGGTGAGCACACACAGGTAAACATGTCCAGACATGGAGCAGCAGAGCAACAGGTGTAGCAGTCAGACAGGTTTGTCAGAGATGAAGCACACAGCAGGCCAGAACAGTTAGCTTAGGCTGTATACCTACATTGTGACAGTTACACAGTAAACATGGTCTGCTTATTTGAATTCAGAAGTGAGAGTTAGTTCATGCTGTATGAGTAGTTTAGCTTTCATCTGACCAAAGGAAGCCAACTGTCTCCACAAATACAAGTAAAAAATTGAGCGTCATGGATGTCATGTTGTGCTATGCTTAGCTCAAACTGTTATTCACAGTGGCTCAGTGACATTGGTAAAAAGCAGAGGTGGGAATGGGCTGTTGGAATGATTGTTACTCTTGATGGGAACAAAAGAAATTTTCATAAGTGTTTTCTGAGCAAGTTTAAATATATGGCTGTCAAATTATTTAACAGCTAATCACCTTCCTCTGTATTATGTTGCACTTTGATTTATTTTAAGTGGCTCAGGTAGAGGATGAGTCATTGTGCAGATCATGCCAGCATGCCCCTGGCTGTGGTATTGTAATCTTGTTTGGAGTTGACTTTCTTTTGTATAACGCATGCCTCTGTCTGCTCTCTCTCTGTTTCTGTCCAGGTATTGACTATAAAACCACCACCATTCTTCTGGATGGGAGGAGAGTGAAGCTGGAGCTTTGGTAAATAACTACTGAATGTGGAATCTGTCGTGGTCTGTACAAAACAGTTCTGCCATGCTCTGCAGGAGCTTTTCTTGCCATGCTCTTAAATACTTAAGGATATCCCCAACTAAATGTTGTTCACCCAACGTGGAAGAAGCATATCTCAAAGTTTGGAGTCAACCAAAACAGAAGCATAGTTCAGGCAGAGCACTGTAGTTGGACTTCAGGCTTCACCATCAATGAGTCATTCACCAAAAAAACTGTGGTTTTGAATGTGAGTGTATTTCAACAAACTGGCTGACAGACTGCAAAAGAACTGTCCATCTTAAAGCCCATTTGATCAGCAGAACATCAGATGTTTGTTTTTCAGTGTTACATCTGAATTTGTTTATATCTGTTAAAGCACCTACCTAAACCAAATATTAGCATACATAGAAAATGCTATAGGTAATCTACACGTTCTTTTCCACTGCACATTGTTACACGCTTTAGCAGTACACTTGCACCAGATGCATGTGCAGAACCACTCTGCAATGGTAGGAGAGGCTTGTTTTGTTTGCTGAAAGTAGGCCAAGGAATTCATCTGTTCACAGGAGAACCAGCACATTGTCTTCCTGTGGAGAGAATAGTTTAAAGACAGCCCTATGATGCTGAATTGTTTTTATTTTTGCTGCCTCTGCCTTTCCTCATCTCCTCATGGTTATCTTATTGTCTAAAATACTTACTGTCCTTGTTCTATGTTTAACTTCCTTTTCAATTCTGGCTCATGACTCAGAATCCTCCATAGTCTCAGTCTAATGTGGCAAAAAAGAGAAACTGCAGAAATTAAAAAACTTTAAAGATGTGTCTGGTGTTATTATTGTCATCGCATTCCATGATAAGACCAAAATGTTAAATGTATCCCACTAATAAGTGTTCAGGTATTGCGTTCTGTGTCCAAAGCCTGATTAGTTAATCCTATTCCTTATTGCTCTATAGCTGGCATGGAGCTCTGTAGTTGTCCAAAAACTACTAACATCCAGTGAGCCACACTGTTCCACTGGGTGAAACTTTCCTTCATTACCATGAACACACACTCTCTAGTTTACTTGAATTCAGACCCAGATACACCGTTCTGCTGCCCCAAATACTGACTGGAGTACCAAATGTGGATTCATCCACCACTAAAAGTAGTCCCCAACAAATGGACTATTTCCAGCCAGTCTAAGAAATTACGGAACATGTTTTTAAAATGAAACTATTTAGGACCTTAAAGATTCTTTTTCTTCATACGGAACCAGTGGTGTTAAAGCTGAAGGCCACAGACAGAGTGGGGAAGTTAGAAAGTATTAGGAGACAAAATAACATATTGGTTTTGGTCTTATCATGGGATTAGTTTAGACAGGAACAAAAATATCCATAATGCCTTTTAAACGTCAGGCAGAGTCACTTTAGGTATCATTTAGGAAATCATTTTACCTGTAGCCATGCCCCTGTCTTTTGTCCACTCACCAGTCAGTCACTTCATATGGGATGCTGCCTGAGTTGTAAATCTCTCATCTTGCTTTATTTCTATCATTTTATATCTCATGAAGCGCTGACAGCAGAGACAGGAAGTAAGGGAAGAGAGAAATTGGGACTTAGTTGTATTCGACACTGGGGTGCTATGGTTTATTGACGGTGCCTTAAACCCTTCAGTCAGGCCTAGATGGTCTTTTATCTTTTCATTTAACCTGTATTGCTTTTCATTTTGGTATTACACACCGAGCATCAAGAGTAGTGTCAGTGAAGAAAACAACACATTAATCCAACTTGTAGTGTCTTCCTGATGGCTTTTATTAGCAGTTCTCTATTCACGTGTTTCATCAAAGAGCCCATGGCATGCTTGTTTTGCTTGTTTCCAGCCATTTAATGCTTAATCTTGGGTACCTCTAGATTAGCTTTGCACTTATAACTCCAAATAGTTATAATGTAATTATTTCAGAATGATAAAACCACCTTTTCCTAAAAATGAGAGGATGGTTCATGAATGCGTACACCTCCTGCTGCTGGTGTTGTGTCAAAAGTGGACAGTAAAATGAACCATAACAGCATTAATTAATTTGAATGTCTCCTCCATAGATAGGTAAACAACAGTATATGTACCAATGAAAAAAAGATTTGTTTGAGCTTTAGGTTATGTTTAAGACAATAATTCATGTCTTTAATTATTGACTAGTTGATTGCATTGAAATCACTACAGTCATTCTATTAAGCGGTCATCAGTCTTTGACTAATATAGTGGTGTGTTGATTTTGGAGGGTGGTTGCACCTTTTATTAAAAAGCACATAATGACCTGTCGCTTATAAGCAGCATCAATAAGACAGATGAGTTATCTTAGTAATAATCATTAATAAAGCCAGTGCTGCACCTGCCTGAAGAAGTGTAAACATTTCATTAGCAGAGGCCTGGTTTCTGGTTGACTGCGCAGTAGATTATTGACAGATGATTGTCAATATCAACAGTGGGATGAATGTGAATGACTTGTTTTGACATGACTGTTGGCCTTGTGCTCTGTTTGGAGGGGTATCTGTTCTTCTGAGCCAATGTTAATGGTTTGGGTTCTCTTGTTCTCTTCAGGGACACCTCAGGACAGGGCGGTTTGGGTTCTCTTCTCTTCAGGGACACCTCAGGACAGGGGAGGTTCTGCACCATCTTTCGCTCTTATTCCCGCGGGGCTCAGGTGAGAAAACAAATAGAAATAACAGTGCTCTGTTTGACTCAATCTAGATGTCCATACTTTGGTCATAGAACTTGCATGCTTCTGTGTTGACTGTACTGGTCAAAGGCAAACTTAAAGTGTAGAGGAACAGCTACTTTGGCACTTGCCGTGATTTTGTTTGTCTCTCTCTTTTTTCAGGGGATCCTGCTGGTTTATGACATCACCAACCGGTGGTCATTTGATGGAATCGATAGGTGGATCAGAGAGATTGATGAGGTTAGTCTCAGAGACAGGCGGTGATAATGCGGTTTGATGAGGAGTTCAAAGTGTAGAACTCAGGCAGATATTGTATTAGAAAAGGATTTGCTGAAGTCCAGGTGTCTGTATTACAAAGCGATGTTAGTGGGTTATCCCGCTCTCTTTGGGCTTAACTCAGTTTTGCAGTGTCACAGGGTTGATCGCCATGGTAACCTATGTTACAGAGCTAACCCGCTCCAGCGCATTAAACCTTTTATAGCTCAGTAGCATCACTTTACTTTCCATGATCATTGTGTCAGTGGTAGAAGAAAATTTTTCACACAACCATGTGTCCACTTTTGGATTAGAAGCCTGCTTCTAACAAACAGATCATTTAACACACCAATACCCATAATAATAGTAGTTACAACAAGTTTCTTTGATTCTCAAAAGTATTCCAGAGAGTGTGGTTATCCAGGATCACTGATGCCCAGTGTCTTAGTGAAGCCATGTAACACAGGAAAGTCTGACTAATTTGGACCTGCTTCCTGATACTGGTCCCAGATCTGAACTTTCATTTCCATGGAAAGCGTTCCAGAGGGGTAGAAGCATATAAAAATGGAAAGATATAAAATGGCTTGTAAAAAGATTTGTTTTTTCTCAAGCCAAAGCCAAACTGCCTCGTCTAGAAATCAGTGCTGCTTAAGGAAAACATTTGTCAGGATTTCTTGTATTTTTAAGGTGTAGAATTCCTCCATGCTGTTGTACTTTTTTCTGCTTTCCATGTTTTAATCTGTTCTTGGTAGAGTTTGTGGTGCAGTACAGCTTTGCTACAATCCAGCTGGATCATCTAGTGATTCATCTGGTATTATTGTAGTTAGATTTGATCTTTTTGCTTTTTACTTCAGCAGTTATTAGGCACTTCGATGAGATGGAACAAAAGGTCACTGGTAGTGAATAACTTAAGACAACCTGTGTACAGTACGTGTCTGCACTGACTACTTGCATCATCTCCTTCCTAACAAGGAGGATGTCCGCTATATGTGTGTAAGATATTTTTGGCCTGCGGAATGTGTTCAGTCTTTTCCTGCTCTGCCTCCACAGACGTGCAGTGACTGGCCACCAGTATAGAGTAGAAACAGAGGGATGAAAACCTCTGGAAGGTGACAGATGTGCAGAGAAGATGGAAACAGATAAAAGACAGACCATCAGCAGATATTTACTTTTCTGTAGTCTTTTCGTCACTGTGCTATATGTATTAATGATTACAAGTAGTGATATGACAATTCATTTCATGTCAGTAGACAATTCAATCGACTACTAGTTTCAGCATTATCTCTGTGATATTTAGTGGTGTAAACCAAGCGCATCTATTAGTTTTTATCTACTTCAACTTCCTCTAATAGAGGCATTGCATATTCTCTTTATAACTGTTGAATCATTTCCAGAGCATGCAATTCTTTTATAAATTGTTGTGTATTTTTCCTTAGATTTACACAGCTGTTGTTTCAGTGTGCATATAATTTCTACTTGCAGAGGCTTGAAACTTGTTTGATATTTGACGGTGAATATATTGTATCTTATGGATTTTTTTTTTTTTTTTTTTTCTTAGGAATGGTACATTGTTAAATACCTTTTTTTTGTTTGTTTTACTCTTTCTATATTAAGTTCTCTTTCACTTTCCTTATTTTAAATGTTTTATTCTCTTTCATCTTCCTAGTCTCATTTTCCCCTCAAATACTGAACCAGGGTCCCCTAAACACTATCACCACTCTGTATTATATCTGCATGCCATCTCCTCCATTTGGCGTTTAGAACAAATCATCTTCCAACTGTCAGAGCATCAACTTGAAAACAAACCGTGGTACACAGCTGCAACAGATTACAACCTTCTCTTTGTTGGATGATCATGGCAATGGATGTCATGGGGTGTGGTCTCATTGGAGGAGGGTACCTCTGACTTGTACTGCCGCCATGGCTCTGAAATCTGAGATTAGAGTTGGCTGTTGACTGAAATATCTCAGGCAGTGGAAAACACATGCTTGTTTCATCCAAATACACATAATTATTTTATTTTATTTTTTTTGAAATCCTTCAACTTTAGCTTTAACTTTCTTGTCTTCCAGGTGACATTTGGTAGCATAACACAGACAGACTTGGACATAGACAGTAGCAAATATAACAAACTATATAAAATATATGCCGCACAGCCTCACATAGAACAATGTAGGCTACATCAGTGACAGCAAAACATGAAGCCTGCTGTGCATCAGATATGAATAGTTAAAACATAACTGTGATCACTCACCAAATGTATATAAAAGCTTTACCAAGCTGATTCATCCTGAGCATTTGAGGGTGTTGGAGATAAAGGAATTTCATGTTTATCTTGGTAATTGGTCATTTAAATTTCAATCAGGACAGAAGTTTAAACTGTCTGTACAAAGATATTAAAGGTCTCCCTAAAAAGACTTGAGCCACTGAAATCTCTCTCTTGGGAGAAGTGAGACAGATCGGGCAGTTTACTACCAATTATCTTAATGACCAGTGACCACAGAATAGAATTAACACCAAGACAAGCAGAGACTGAGACATCTATAGGAATCCCCAGGATTTACTGCTACTGGTTTTTCCACCACCACCAATGCTGCTGCTGCTACAACTGCTGCTCTTCCCTCTGTGACTGTTGCTGCTGCAGATACTAGACCAGCCTCAGTGGAGAGACTCCAGGCATGAAAAGGCAACAGGGACAAAACTCTGAGGAGAGGCTGATGAGTGGTGACAGCTAGGGGGAGTGAAGTAGGAGGAGAGAGGTCGGCCTCTTGTCGCCATCATGCTTCATTTACTTGTTCAGGACAGATGAATTAGACAGACCTGAGTCTAAGTGGCAGGAGATCATAAATGCAGCACACTCAGGCTTGGTAAATTAATAATAGGCCTCCACTGGTCCCTTTGTATGAATGTGTTGTCTCCCATTCACTTCGTCTCTCTGTCTGGTGCTTTCAGTCAACTATAAATGCTGCTGATCTAACATTTTTCTAAGCATGACAACTTTCCTGCAAAATGCAAATATAGGTTGTGTTTTATTTATTTTAAGTTTTTAATATTAAACAGACCTGAATATCACCACAACAAATTTGTTATTAGGACTCTGAGTCTATAAATGCAGCTGTCAATAACAGGTCCTCCAACTCTATCCTCATGTGTTTGTTTTGTTTTGTTTTTCCTACCCAGCACGCACCAGGGGTGCCTCGAATCCTTGTAGGTAACCGGCTACATTTAGCCTTCAAACGGCAAGTTCCTACTGAGCAGGCGAGGGCGTATGCTGAGAAGAATGGTATGACTTTCTTTGAGGTGAGCCCTCTGTGCAACTTCAACGTCATCGAGTCCTTCACTGAGCTGTCACGCATCGTCTTGATGAGGCACGGCATGGAGAAGTTCTGGAGGCCCAACCGAGGTGAGTGAATCAGTGTACCACAGTTGTCATCAGATGGATGTCATAATTCCAAACTCACTCCCTTAGTTACTAGTTCTCCCTCATTCCTGTCAACTTTGTCTCCTTCATCTGTAATTACAGAGGAAAGCAGGTGGAAGTCATAGTTATGCATGTCCTCAGAGATTTAATAATGAACAGCCTCACGCTTGCTGTACAGAAACCTTGTCTGAACAAGATGAAATCTCTGCCTTTCTCCAAGAAACTATTTGAAGTCTTCCTCCATCTTAAAAAGGCAGATCTGAAGTTTGTTTTTAATAAAACAAGGTTTATCTGTGTTGTTCAGTTTTTATCACTGTTAAAAAGTTAGATAAAATTCAGCAAAACAAAACACAGTCCCAACGCTGTGCTACCACTGGTCTTTGTTTGCAAATGTGCAAACTGTGAAAATATAGCAGCTTCTCTGGAAATGTCAAATTTCTTCTAAACTCTTCACTGAAAAGTATTTGGGAAATTTCTGCAGCTTTTTTAAAGTCTCTATATAGTTCAGAGTGACAGTATGAAGCATGCAGGTTGTGCTAAAATAATGACAGCTGGAAATCAGAATGCCGTGTGCCTTAGTTATAATCTCCTCTCTGTCCCCCTCCCCTTAGTCTTCAGCCTCCAGGACCTCTGCTGCAGAGCCATTGTGTCGTGCACACCAGTTCACCTCATTGATAAGCTCCCACTGCCCGTTGCCATCAAGTCCCACCTCAAATCCTTCTCCATGGCCAATGGCATGAACGCCGTCATGATGCACGGACGCTCCTACTCTCTGGCCAACCCGGCTGGTGGTTCCAAGGGCAACAGCCTGAAGCGTTCCAAGTCCATCCGTCCACCACAGAGCCCTCCCCAGAATTGCACCCGCAACAACTGTAAAATTTCCTAATTAACAGCTCTGTTGGGTGACGAGGAATGATGGACAGCATGGGATCAGGAGATGAATGTACAGGATGTTATTAGTTGGTGGAAATGAGCACATCCATAAAGGAATGAGGGATAAAAGGATGAATGAATGCTACCTCCCACATTCATGAGACCATGAGTAAGAAGTACTTTCCAGGTGGGGGTGGGCTTGACTGGTGCCTCAGGATATCAGAGGAGGACAACTACAAACTTTCAGGTCTGCACAGACCTGAATCTCACTACACCCAACAGCTGCAATGAGAGAAAAAGACTCCAGACTGGCTCCTGTCTACTGGAGTGTGAACTACTGTACATGTACAGTATAGAAATCTCTCACCAGCTCATATTTACTTACTCTACATGATGCACGCCACTTCTTGTGTCTGTGTGTCACAGACATCACCTAAAGATCACTTCTTCACTATTGTATCACACATTTCTTTCTTTCCTCTGTCTACTTAGAATTCCACCTTTTCTGTCTACTTCTCCATTTATTTGCTATTTTACTGACCAATAAGCTAATGACCAAGACACTAGTAACCAGTCAGTTCTTTATTGATCAATGCTTATCCTCAGCTGGTTATAATAATTGTGTTTGCACACTTACTGTGCTTTTGAAGTTAAAATGTTTTCTTTGATCTACAGGTAACACATACTGAAGTGAAATCTTGGTGACAAGATGAGTGAATGTTCCCACGTGGTGTAGTAACTGAAGTGGGTGTCTCTGGGCAAACCAGAAGGACACAACCTGAGCAAGATCTCAGACCAGAATCTTTTAAAATATCCCCAAAATATAGGGTTTTAATTTTTCAAAAGGCTCAGTCGTTTCTTAAAACAGCTGGTCACTGTAGTTTTAACAAAAGAAAATAGTGCATTTGTTCAGGAGCATTTTCAGCTGTGGATTAATCCACCAGCAGGACAGTGAATGCTGAACTGAGCAAGGTCAACTGCACTGTGTGTGTTCATGGTAATGAAGGAACATGTCACCCAGTGCTACAGTGTGGCTCACTGATGTGTTTTTAGTACTAATGGAGCTCTATGGCACAGAGGAATAACATACCAGGCTTTGGATACACACACAATACTTGCACATTCGTTACTGGTTTAAGTCTGCACATGGGATTAGTTGAGTATTTGTTACTAAAAATATTTTGAGTTTGAGTGGAATATCACTTTGTCCTTTTTTAAAAAATTGAAACCAGAAAACGTAATACACACACTTTCCACACCTGTCATATCGACCTATTCCTGTTGTTCTGCAGTAGTAAATGGAGTCCATACCGACTCCCCAAGTCCTCCCACCCCTGGTATGTACTAATGTGTTTTCCATACATTCATTTCAGTGTTTGACATGGAGTGTGCATGAAACCCTGAGGGGAAGGAAGCACAGATATGTGAGGCTGTCTGAAAAGCACAAAGGTGAAAGGTATGATCAGTGTAAGCAGAAACTAGTCGAAGGAGATGGACAGGCCCGTGTCATGCAAAGACAGGAGGTACAGTGGAATATTCAGTGTTGAGAGTAAACAGTGAACTGTGTTTATCAGTTCTCCCTGAATGTCACTCACTCCTCTTCATGACCAGCTGCTCATTTCTCACAGCATTAACCAAAAGGCCCAGCCTGGTGGTTTTGCATGTTTCAGCTCATTAAGTGCTTTTACTTAACATTTTTATTGGTAGTTTTCCAAAGCAGATCATCAGTCATTGATTTTGTTGGTTCCAGCCAGCTACAGGTTGTGTTTTATTTGAGTATGTTGTGAGCTGTAGAGATTTAAAACTGGTTTGAGGTTGGTAATTCATGAATAATTAATTGCTTTAGTCCTTTTTCAAACAAAATGCTAAACCTCTAGCGTTGTGTATGTATTGTGTGTGTATTGTATTAAATGGTCTTCATATGAATTTGTTGCCAGAAAATCAAACCAGGAGGTAAAGATGGTCATGACAGAAGTAATTCTTATAAAGAATTCTAACAGTTTTTAGTATCAATGTCTTGTTGGCTCCTGCAGCTTGCTTTGTCCTGACATGGATGTAAAACACATCACTATTTGTGAGATAATGCCAGGATTAATCTCTATTCATAGGTTTGGGGAAACTTACAAGTTAATGGTGTTCATAGGAGGAAATATGGTATCTGTTGGAGACTATTTTCATCAGTGGATTAATCTATATTTGATGCCCTAGTGACTGTTTGATGCAGTAGGACAGTGCATATGGAACTGAGTTGAAATAAACTACAGCGTGTGTTTGTGGTGATAAAGGAACGTGTCATCCGGTGCAACGTTGTGGCCACTGATGTGTTTTTGAGCAACAGTGGAGCTCTGGCACAGAGGAATGAGATATATCAGGGTTTGGATACACCCAGTATTCAGTGTTGATGTGGGTCTTTTCACACAAGTTGTTGACATAAAGAACAAAATAGACAATCACCAGACTTACTCCTTAAATATGGACACTGTTTGTCATCTTGAGACAAAATTAAGTTGTGATAATGGCAGATTTAACTGGCCTAACATCTTGAGACTCTGATAAAATTAAGTCGTGATAATGGCAGATTTAACTGGCCTAAAAATGATTAGCAACCACGTGTTTACGTTCTCGCTGCTTGTTGTATTCATGTCTGGTGGAAAGACGGCAGATGCTTATACTGTAAATACTGTTCAACAACATGGAAACATCTGCTGTTGTCAGTGACTTGGTTTCACATGAGGAAACGTGATCAGTCTGAAGCAACAGTCGAACGTGTGAATAAACTCTGAGTCGCTGCTTTTCGACCATCAAACTGCTCTGACTGGATCTCCCACAGGAATAAATGCAGCATGTCTTCGCCTCTCTCCTCTGATCTGCTCCACCCCCTCCACATGCTGTCCCATGATTCATAGCTGCTGAATAATAGATGCTCTTTTCACATATCTCTCGAGGGCTTCATCTGTACACCCCAGCTCCGTTTCTTCTTGCTGCTCTTACGTCCTCCACACAGGAAGCTCTGCTTTCTGCATGGTTTGTTTCTTAGTCCTCAGCATCTGCCTCCTTTCTGTTTTCTGGTGAATTTCAGTTTTAGCCTGTTTTTACACTACAATTTAATTTATTTTTGGTGTGCGGTAGAAATGCCCTTGTAAATCCAGTGCACTTCATACAGCTCTTTGTTCGTCTTCAGTGTGTGTGTTGGTGGACTCTCCATCTGTCTCCCCTCCTCTCCTCCGCCTGTCTCTTGTCTAACCTCACCTCAGGGAGTCGTCTTTGCCCCAAAACCTGAAATTGTCTTTGCTCAGGCGGAGAATCCTTCCCACTTTAGGTAAGATTTTCACAGACTGAGAGTCATATTACTGCAGCAGTAAATGACTGTACCATTGTCTTTAAATGCGCTTGCTCATTTACTACAAACCTTTTAAAAAACCTGTTGTTCTCTTATCAGCGGTTGTCAGTCATTTTGGCTTACGACCCCTTGAAACAAAGATGTATCTCTTTGCAACTTAGTTGCATATACGTTATTCTTATCAGGGAGTTTTATTTGAATACTGCTGAATTAAAACAGTATGACTTCAGGGACCTGGAGAGAAAATTATCCGGTAGTTTTAATAGCAAATTAGGGGGAACAAATCATTTTTTTTCTACCATTATAATGTTTTTTCCTACTTTTCTGTATTATTAATTCTGCAAACCAATAGATTCATCTTATGACCCTTGTGGGGTCCAAACCATTACTCAAAAAATTTTTCTCATATTATGCAGACATGCATTCTGCTGTCTCGGCAGCTTAATACCTCATTTCTATTACCTTTGCAGTGAATATTCATGGAACCTTCTTCATGAATCTGCAGGTTTCCATTTATTTAGAGTAGTTGGACAAAAGAAAAATGTGTAGAAACTCTAAACCTACTTGTTAGGTAATTTACTGAAGTGAGCTTCATGTCTGCATTTGCTCGTGGTGTTGTTGTGGTAAAGTAGTGCAGTAGTTCAGGTCAGTCTGCATTTTAACTGCACAGACTGCACAGAAATACACAGAAGCATGGTGATCAGTGCAGTGGATAATTTAAAGTTGTGGTTCCATACTTTTTGCCTTGTGACATCTTAAAAAGAAGCATTGTGAACTTGCAACTCCACATCACAGGTAGTGGTCTAAATGTGGGGTTTTAACAGTTCAGCCAAAGATTGAATTTTTCCCTTCTTTGATTTTTTTTTTTTTTAGGGGGACAGAGAGGATATTTAGAGCAGTTTCCAATTGTGTTTTGGTTTTGACTCCTTAATACAAAGCAGTGTCTCTTTATGACCCCTCATCACAGGTTATGTTGTCTCTGAGCAAGTTCAGTCAAAGATCAACTTTCTCTTCTCAGATTGTGTTCTTTAAATGTTCTACAGAGATCTGATGAGGTACATTTTCATATTTCTTGTACATTGTGCAATGACAATAGAGGACTTTATCTAAAACTACAGTTGTAATGAAACATTTGCAGAGCTAGAACAGCTCGTCACTGCTGTTGCCTGGGGTCACTGGCTGTTTTGGGTCTGATCAGACCTCAGCTCTGCCCTAGCTAGCTCTTGCCCATGGATCCACCATTTTGAGTCTCTCTCAGCAGCCTCTGTGCTGGTCCAAATGACTTTCTTTTTTTTCCCTCCCCTGTTATGCCAAGCACATTGAAGGCCCTACAAAGGGACTGCCCCGCAGAACCCTTGCACCTGACTTCCACAAGCCCGCACCTTGCTTTCTAGCTTTGTTTGTGGCAGTGGCTGACTAGGCATACTTCTCCCTTTTCCTCTCAGAGGCCTCCTCCTGTGGCATAGTGAGCTCCAACATGATGATGTGCTTTGTTGCATCTAGTACCAGCACTATCTTAGGGCTAAGGGTGGTCTTTGCTATGCGCTATGGAAACATGAGCTGACAATCCAGATCCACCACCAGCTGCCAGTCCTTTGCTGAGTTGCGGAGACCTGATGCCGCCACTGGTGTTTGTTTTGGTTCTCCTTTCTCCTGTTCTAACAAAGCTAACCAACTTTGCTGGTGTTTCCCTCTGGCAGTCAGTGATGTCACTAGTGATGGACTGCTATGGTCTTGATACTGACCTTTGAATAGCAGCCTTGATATGCCCACTATATCAGTCCATGTGATCTTTCTTTGCACTGCTTATGGACACTATATTACAAAAGAGAAGCAAAGTTGGACAAAATTCTGAAAATCAAATATGGCTTTGTGTAGTAGAATGTGTTTCTATTTGGGTGATCATCCTGTGACTCCTAAGATTCATTTAGCAAAATTGTATGTGCTTGAGAACCACTGTTTTAAGGCCTATAGTAAATATATCCCAGATTTCACATAGACAAAAAGTACAGAAAGGTCATAAAAGCTAAATAACTTTCTGTAACAGAAATCATTTTTCCCATCCCTTTAATCCTCTTGTAATTCTCAAATATATCCTGGATCCTCAGGAAGGGTGCCAACACCCAGCCTGGGAACCTCTGCTCTAAATTAAGCAAACTTGTCTTTACAAGTTGTTTTATTGATGAAAGTTTTAATAAATGTAAACCAGCGGCTATCTGGAACGGTAGAACAGCACACATATAAATCTGTAATAAATGGTTGAAATTTTGTAGAAACACCAGCTTGGTCTGTATTTAGGAGGCTAAATAATGAGCTGTTTGTTCATGGCTACCGTTCTTGTGTTCCTCAGATTTAATGGGTGAGAAGGACATTTAGAAATACTGAGACACATCAGATGACCTATATTTTGTTGTAAATGTTTTTTTGTCATCACCAGTGTTTTAAGAAAGGAGCCATTCTGTAAAATTAGCCAAAAAGGAATTTAACTCTCTTGTTGCCAAGATTTTTAGAAGAGGTTTCCTCTTTGTGATGAACAAGACGAGGCTTTTCTTCTTGTTTTTGTTGTTGTTGGTGACTCTCAGAGCATAATAATTCTCATAGGATGTAATGATATTGTGTTGTGTTGTATAAACAGCCTCTATGTGTTATGAGATAACCATTTGCCTCCATGTTTTGGTTCGACATCTTCCTTTATTTTGTTATAGACTTCCTCAGTGTTTGTTGACATGTTGCAAAATTGTGTTACTTCTTAATCAAGTTTCCATTTTGGATTTCCATTGACCTTTTTAAAAATATGGAAGTGTTTGTAGTGGATGGCAGAAGATCGGATGCAGGACCCTTTGGGGAAGCCCTCTGATATCGCAGTGTGTATATATACAGTATATATATATATAAAGGAGCAGACTGTTATGATAATGATGACAACTTTGACAAGAAATGCACCTGTAAAACACTATTCTTGTTTTTGGCTGAAGCTGCTGAGCAATCTGAATCGACATCTGTGTGTGTGTGTGTGTGTGTGTGTGTGTGTGTGTGTGTGATAGAGAGAGAGAATGTTCCTTAAACACAAAGCTGAACATTGTTCTTTTTTTAAATTATTGATTGTACAGTCTCAAAGTGAGGGTATGAAGAGAGACTTTTTCACAATAAAGCTATTGAATGTTCAAATCAACATCAGTTTTTTTGTGATTTTTATTTATTGATTTATTTAAGGTTTTGATTTGATTTTAAAATATGCACACAACATGACCAGCAACATATGCACTGCCTGCAGCTAAGAAAAACTCAAGATCTTGACCACAAGCACCACAGCAACTGAACAAAACATCAAAAACAAAGACATAAGCATACTCACTCTCACTGTATTGATATTAAATACTGTATTTATGTGGTTTCATTAGGGAAGGCTGCCCTCTACTGGAATTTATACCTATACACACACCACATCACATCTTTATCAAGACAAAATTTTGAGGTGTGCACATCAAGACAAATTAAATGCGCTCATGTCTGTCTACATTACAAGTCTGTGCTGAGTAAACATGTCACTGTGCATGGCAGCACATTCCCTCACTGAAAAACAACTAACACACTGAGGATTCAGGCATTCAAATTGCATTTATTGTCAAGATGTATACATGAACTGTAGATTTTCAAAAAAGTTATAAAACATTGAAATTAACATACAAAGTAAAGGGTGCAAATAAAATTACTCACACCAAGGCATTT